ACTAAAATTTCAATACTTTTAAGAAAATGCTTCAAGAACATCATCAACAGTTACAAAAATAACAATAAAAATTAAAAATAATAAATTATAAATGGCTCGACTTTTATAAAAAATATTTTACTTCATTGAACTTAAAAAACATGAGAACCAAACAAAGCCATCCCACAAGCAAAACCATTTCACAAACATGACACAAAAAGCCCATGATAACAAAACAATACTATACACATTGAAATGGATAGTTTTAAAAACATTATTTATGACCATTAGCAACAAACATTTCTCTGACGCATCTCACAGAAAGAATATTTTCATCCGAACTGTCTTAAAATTTATTAAAACATCTTATATATGTGAACCGTGTATTCTACAGCACACAGTTGTAAAGTAAAAAAAATTACCAGTGTCAACAGCCGCTACAACACTTATAACAAATTCAACAACACTCAATTAACAACTTAGCAAGCCACCAACAGTACCAACAACACCGCAACAACAAAAACAACAACAGCAACAACAACAACAACAGCAACAACAACAGTGATGACGACATGACTGTTATATGAGTTGAGACAAAGGAACTAATTTATCGGTTGCAACCATTGGAACAACGTCCGTTCAAGCACGACTCAGTTAATTTGATACAGCCGACAGTTAATTATCCCCTCTCTTTTTTCTCTCTCTCTCTCTCTCTCTTTCTCTCTTCTACACGCTTATCTCTTTTTCCCCATTTTGTTTCTTTCGGAATTTTCTATTTGTTTCCCTCTTTTTTTAAATTTTCACACTTTCTTTTTAATTTTCTTTTTTTAATCCCTTATATGCAACTTTTTTTCCTAGTTTTGAAATTTGAGTTTCTTTCTGTTTATTTTGATTCCTTCTTTTTAATCTTTTTTCATTCATTTTTTCTTCCTTTTCCTCCGCCGTTTCATCTTTATATATATTTTTTCAATAATTATTTGTTGTTAAAATCAAATTCTTCGAAACAGTACCAACATTTCTGCTTTGATGCATTTCCTTTGCTTCTTCTATTTCATTTCTTTTATGTCTGTTTGAGAAATATTATTTTCATTGTGGTCTCAAAACAACATCCCGTTTTTCAGATTTCAATTTTTTTATTATTTAACAAGTTTATTCAACCAGTAAACATAATAAAAATTTGAAACAAATAAATATAAATAATATCCAAACACTATTTTAAAATATAAACAGTCCAAAAAATTTATAAAAGAAGATAAAACAATACGCTGGTGGTGAAACTGTAATGTAACAAAGTTAATAGTCCGCAGGAGAAAAAATATACAAATAACCATATAAAAACACTTTTTAAACCAAAAAATAAAAAAAAAACAAATGCACAAAATGTTTAAGGTAGTAGAATAAAGACAATTATACTAGCGCAAATGAAAATTAATTTTACAGTTTTATTAGATAAAATTTTTATTCGTACAATATGCGTAAGCATGTTTGTTATTTTGTTGTTTAAACTTTTTATTTACCATCACAAAACATGAAAATTGCGAATTTTGATCACTTGACATATTTGATTAGATCATTTCTATTTTAGTCTTCAAATTTAACTTATCAATATGTCTCAGAAATTTAAACTTGTTTCACTATTTTAATTAGGGCTGACAAAACGAACTCCTATGGTAAAAATATCACAAGTTAATTTTCTGTAAAATGGTTCATAAAAAAAGTTGCATTCCATTAACTCCCTCTGAAACAATGTGGCAAATGTTATCTTGCAGATGTTAACCTGCTAACGGTCATGTTGTCAGAAATACCCTTAAATAATTGTTGTAAAGCTATTGGTCATGTTAATTTGAATTTGAAACAACTATTGCTATTATTAATAATAAAATTACTGTTAAACCTTCCATTACATTATTACTATTTTTACTGGATCAGCAACATTAGTTGTTACTCAGTTATTACTGCTGTAACCACAATTACTACTTTTTCATTACTAACCTGTTGGTAGAATAATTTTTAATATTGTTTTTTCAATTTATTCATTAAATTATATTTACTATTATCTCAAAAACATGTGAACGTTGCCTACATAAAATAAAGTCTACACTGGTCTGTTCATAAGTAATATTTATAATTTGATTTCAGTTTTATTAATGATGGTTTTATCTTAAAAATTGTTTAATAGTTTTTGTACTAATAATTTTTTCAATTAATTTTTAACATTACATCCAACGCAAATATTTCTGAAATATCATCCGTAGTTTTTAAAGCAAATTATTTTCGCACGCTTCCAAATTTTTTGCGATGGTATGTTTGTTTGCACAAGAAGACTTCATGAAAAATGAAAACATAAACAAAACTTCTTACGTCTCTGAATTTTTTCTCCGTTTTTATGCGTTTATGTCGTGTTTCCATATCATCATTGTGAGTTACAATGTGTTTCATTGCATGTTTTTGAATGCAAATATGTGTTTGTTTGTTTGTATCTAGAGTACTTTTGTGGAATAAGTAGAATTTCATTTATTTTATTTTTCGTATGTTTGTAAGTAAATCAAGATGGCTACATTTAAATGCTGTATGTGCGCGAGTCGTTGTTTATCGGCAACATATGTTTGATGCGTTTTGGCACTTACATTCAAACTTGTAGTACATTGTTGTTGATGTGAATTAACGCACGTGTACGTAAACAAAATTTGTTTCTCGAAAATTTGAAAGAATTATTTCGAAAAAAATGCTAGAAAAACGCATAGAAAGAGTGAATGCTGCGATGCACTTAACTGAAGAAACAATTTGTACAAGTAAATTATTTGTATCCAGCCTACTAATGCACATATGTGTACAAACATAAGCGATGCGTATACATACGTGCACATAATACGCGTGTAAAAGTATACAGACACATACAAACGTACAAATATGGGTACACACACATTCATGTATAAAAATGCAATGTTTATTTTCAATCGCGTGTACAAGCGTTCCTACTGAATTTGATCGTCAAACACGTGCGTTTGCGTTTGTTTACGCTGTCGTTGGCGATGGTTATACATGTGCAGACGCGCGTATGTGTGTGCGTGCGATCGTGTGCGTGTTTGAGCAAACAATAAAAAATTAAGAAAAAGAGAGATAAAAAAAGTAAAAATTTAAAAGAAAGTGTAGAAAAAAGAAAAAAATATTGTTTAATTAACGATGATCGTTTGAGTTTACGTACTGAACGAGTGGATGGGTGTGTTTAATTTATTTCGCGGCTGTTGCTGATGATTATGATTAGAATGATGATGAAGAAAATAAAAACAATAATGATGGTGATTATGATTGAAATGACGATAAGTATGATTTAGGAGATGATGACGATGTTGATGAATGAAATTTTTCCAGCCAAAGTAAATTGATGCCTGTCATCGTCATTGGGAGAAGTTGAATGAGGAATGCCTCGTTCGACGTTTGTATCTTTGGCATTGTTGTTGTTTTGTTGTTGAGTGTTGGATGTAGTTTGTTGTTGCTGCGTTTTATGTTGTTGCAGGTTGCCTGCTGTCCCGTTGTATGACTTGTTGCTGGTTTGTTTTTGTTGTTGTTGTGGATGTTGTTTGTTGCCGTTGTTGTGGCTGTTGTTTGTTGCATTTGTTTAGTTTTTTTTGTCGAGTTGTGTTGTGTATTGCAAGAGGAGTTGTGTTATATTTTTATGTCTTGCCTTATTTTTGTGATGTTTATTAAAATGTTTAATTGTTATCAATACTACTACTAGTTCTACAACTACTTCTACTGCAACTACTACTACTGCATTTACTCCTTCTCCAACGACAACAATAACAACACTAGACTACGTCCTGGTGACAAATAATTGAATAGTAGTAGAATGAAAACTGCGTCATTATTGTTATTAAAAAATCAATAAAGTTTCAATAACGTTGGAAAAATATTTAATATTTGAAAAAAATTGTGATTATTTTGAGAGCTCATGACCCAGATAAATAACATTGCGTGTTCTCATTCTTATTGTTTCCTGTAGAATCGAGTTTCAGTTTAAATGTATCTGTCGCCAATGGTTGTTGTTGTTAGTTGCTACAGACGTTAGTTTCGCTATTGTCGTTGTGTTAGTGTCATCAGAGTGTAGTTACTGTAATGTAGTTACTTTTATGTATTCTGTTTAGTTGAAAAAAAGAAGAAATAATGAAAATAAATATTTCTACTTGGTACGTCTTTGATTGATGGACGACTCGGTCAACGTCTACATACAAATGAAGAGAGTTATACACATGTGCCTCTGTATGTGCGTCTGTGTAAGTTTGTATGACTTTGGTGTGTGTGTGTGTTTGTGTGTAAGTTTATTAGGTTTATCGTGGGTTTAAGTGTATACGATTTTTTTTGTACGAATCATGTTGTGTGTGTGCATGTGTGTGTACTCTCGTGTATGGTGTATGAGTATAAAAATGTGTGTGTGTGTGTAGATTTGTGTATGCGTGTAGGTAGCTGTGGATTTGTAAGTGTTTGCCGTTTTATGGGCGCTTTGTGTGATTTGTGATTCTGTGATTGTGCATGCTAAATATTCGCTCGCGTAAGATTGATTTTCTTTCTTTTCATGCTAACACGCTCACACCACATACATTCACGCACGCACACACACACATACATATATACGTAAGTAGGTATGTATATATAAAATATTGAACAACAATAGTTTGAATAAATTTTCATGATGAACTTTGATAATAATTCTATTTTAAATAAATTGAACAGTTTCCAGAAAGTTCTAGTATGGGAAATTGAAAAGACAAAATTTGAATTGATTATTACCGACAACTCGGTGGAATTCATACAATATCCTACTGTTTTAAATATAGTCTTCTTCCAACATATATTTAATTAATATACATACATAAAATTGATATAGATATACATAAACGTACAGAAACATACATAGGTACGGGCCCTAACCCTAACCCGTACCGTACGGCAATCACGTGCTAGCTTAATAAAATTATGCATGTATAAATCTCTTATACATTTATTAAATGATTACACTCTTTTCATGCCAGGAAGGATGCAAATTTTTGCTTTCGTTCTTGGAATGTCTTACAACCCAGAGGTGGACATGGGTCCATTTTTACTGACCCAACCCAACCCAACCCATCACTTAACTCAACCCATCCCAACCCAACCCGCCTGAAAATGCAACTTTTCAACCCAACCCGACCCAACCCAACCCACGACCCATCTGCACGAGTCGCAATTTTACCAAACAGGCAAATTTTTACAAATGATATTTAAAAAGCAGAACTCAAAAATACAAGATCATATGTGTAATAAAACACACTGGTGAAGTAATTACACTGCAAGTGTAATAAAATAACATGAAAATTAATTAAAAATTAAATGTTACTAATATTTTCCCACAACAACGTCAGAAACATCAAACTTTCCATATTTGGCACCTAACTCAACACAGCTCTGCATCAAATTGAGAAGCCCTTTATTTTCAACAGATTTGAATGAGTGGTAACCATCAACACAGAAAAAGATCTGTCTATGCTTCAACATCATTAATTCTTGAGGAGACGGTTGAATTTTTCGTTTCAAGCATTGCTGGATTTTCAACTGTGACTTTGGCAAGACTACAGCACAATGTTTAATATGTTCTTGCTGATTTTTAGTGCCAAAGTTTTTACCTGATGAATCTTTAAACTGATATACCTTATTGCACTTAATACAAGCACAATAGTAATTCACGGTTATTTCGCTTTCATCATTTTCCTTTTTTTGAAAAACCATGTGAAATTTCTGCCAGATTTCTGATTTTAAATTTGTGGGTGCGTTTAATATATACCACCCTGTTTTTTCTGGAAAAAATAAATATTTAAATACTTAAGTATGTTCAATCAATCAATTAAATTTATCTAATGAATGGGATTTCTAAACTTCAACAGCGCCCAACTAAAATTTGAAAAATAGACCATTTCTAGGTAGAAAAAAGAAAGAAAATGAAACATGAATATCAGGTAAATAAGTAAAATGAGCAATTAAGAAAAAATTCTGATGTCTGTAAAGTGTAACTGTAAAGACTGAAGAGATTTGAAATTATGAAAAATAACAAGTAAATCTTTAAAAAAAGAATTAAAACATAAAAAATGTAAAAATGTTAATGTGAAATTTATTAGATTTTTTACTTTCGCAAACTTAGCAAATTTAAATCACACAAACCTCTCAAATGACGCTGAATTTCTTCTGATTCTGCCATACTTGTAAATAAAACTAATTTTCTCGATCGGAAAGAAGTTAACTTTTGCTCAACTCAATAATCACAAAAAGAAAGTGGAAACGATAGACCAAAGATACAATGATATTACAGCGATATAAAATACACCGATTATTAACTAGTTAAAATGTTCGTTTAAGAATAAAAAAAAATACAGAAATAAATTATTTATAATAAAATTGGAAAATTTCAACCCAACCCAACCCACACAACTTTAAAAAATTTGGACCCAACCCATCCCAACCCATGGGTTAACCCAACCCATGTCCACCTCTGTTACAACCTCCTGAAATATTATTAGCACCTCCAAGTTTTGTCACTGCTATCGAAGGCATCAATTATAACAATGTGGTTACTTGTTACGTAAATAATGAAACCCTGCACAACAGAGTTTGTCAACTAAATTTCAATTGTTACTCAATCTAAATTATTTCCTGAGTACTAAGATCAGATATATTAATTACACCTAAACGGACCGGTTTACGATCGTCCTCTCGTTCTCACTTCTTTACTCCTGCTAAACATTCTTATGTTTAATCTCCATCACTTGCAAAGTTCAGAGCGGATCTCAAAAAAAGACCCATTAGTTTGTGAAATTCTTTGATGGTGCTTTAGAAACTAATTGGTTGATTGATTGATTGATTGGTTGGTTGTTTGATTGATTGGTTGATTGATTGGTTGATTGATTACTTATATTTTGCTGCTATATACTAACACTTTATTATTAGAAACGACACAAAACAACGTGAATTTAAAACTTTACATTAACGGTAAAAAACAAAAAAAACCAATTTGTTGCTATCTCTTAAGCTTTAATTACAAAATAATAATATACAAGACTAAAAACCTCAATCGTAGCCAGCAATTTTAAAGTTTGGTACGGTTCGGTTCGTTTCCCATTTCTAGTTGGCGCAGTCCGGATCACTAAAATATAATTTCACCAGTGAATTTTCAACTTTCTTTTGACAAGGTTGAAAATTCCAATGCTCTCGTTTAGGTGGTTCATTAAACGTCGTTACATTTTATAAATGATTTTCAACATGGTAAATAAGAAGATCACGCAAAGAAAGTTTAAACTATAATATTAATATATCTTATATATTATATATATATATATATATATATATAATAAAGTTTAATAAAACTGTTGTTAGCATGATGAATTTGGATAATAATTTTTTTTCAATAAATGGAATAATTTCCAGGAAACTCTAGCAAGAAAAATTGAAAATACATACTTTAAATTGATTAATGCCAGCAATTCGTTGGAATTCATACAATACCGTATAAAATATGGTCTCCTTCCAGCATGTTTATATATAAATATATATACAAATACATATATATAATTTTAATATCATATGTGTATTACATACATGTGTGCAAACTTCATTTATGCTGCGCATCAGGCAAGACAAGTCATGTGCATCATATTCGCTTATTAGGAGTTTTATATGCACTGACAAATAGTATAATTAAAACTACATACATTTATACATGTATGTATTCATCTATATATGTAAAAAATATGTATGAATATGTATATTATGATAACTATGTGCAAAGTTTATGAATGTATGAAATAAATATGTAATGTTAATATATAGGTGAACATTATAAATGTATGTTCGTTGTGAGCATATAAAAAGAGTTGGATGCGAGCAAGTCTTCTAATCGGGCGATTGGCTTGTTTGGTCATTCCTTTATCGTTTACTCATTTCATCATCTACTCACTCACTCATTTTGAAAGTTTCGATTGCAATTCGTTTAATATATTCATTGATGTATTTGTAAGAAGAATTTTGAATAAATTAATGTAAAGTTATTTGATAATTAATTAACAGACTATAACTTTATTCAGTATATATTTTTTGCAAGAATACCTGTTGTTGAACTCAGAAATTTCTAATTTAAAAAAGAAGAATAAATAAATGCAATATTAAAAAAAAACTTTCATTTTGTTTGATGTTGATTTGTTTCAAAAATTTGTGGATTTAAAATAAAAATTCTGTTGGACGTTTCCGACTATCATCAGCCGTTAACATAGGATACTCCCTTCCCTACTACCACAAAAATAACTGCCAATTTTTAAATTTAATTGTGAAAATAAATTTTATAGATAATTAACACACACAAAAATAAAAATAATAAATTATATTTTTTAAAAAATTGTAAAAAATTTAATTTTTGAATTTTCTACTCTCTCCCTCTCTCTTGTTTTCAGAGAGGCTTAGAATTTATTTCGGAATTTTTTTTATCATTGCTCATCTTAAGAGGATAAGCCAGGACGTGAAGGTTACTAATCTTAAGTTTTGAAAATATTTTTATTAATAATAATAATAAATAATAATAATAATAATAAAATTCTTACGTAGCAAAAGATCGATAACAATAGTAGTATTACTATTTTTATTATTTGTTTAACAAAATCAATACAATTTTATTTTAACATAATTAACGTGACTTGACAGATTAACAATAATTTGTTATATTTCAATATCAAAAAACAAAAAAAATTAAGAGCATATGAAAAAAATAAATAAATTTTCAGAAAAATTATAATCAATATCTTTATTTCGCGGTTGTTTGAATGGTTTAGAGGTGTAATTAAAATAATATTGATCGTTATAAACCTCTATATCACGCTGTTAACATAGATTATAGGCTTATAATAATAATAATAATAATAACAACATTAAAAAAAACAAAACAATTACGGTGATAATAACAACAATAACCAGTCACAACAACAACAACAGATAATAATAGAAATATAACCAAAATGTTAATTCATTAATATTATTATTAATTTTGAAAAGAATGTTCTGGTCGGTATAATGATAATGCTTCGTTAGAATTATTATGATTATGATTTTGCCTATTATTATTGTTATTGTCATTATTTTTATTATTATCGTTAATAAGTACTGAAAATATAAATAACAAAAGACACCATTGAAATTCTCAGAAAGTTTATTGATTAAATTATGTCATAGAGTTAACGAAATTCCGATTATAACTTTATCATTTCAGTTTAGGAAAACTTAAAGTAACTTTTATTAAAATGTGCAATTGAGAGTTATTCAGAATTTAACTATTACTTTATTATTAATAATAAATATTATACAAATAGAAAAGGCAATGCAATTTAAAAGGCGGGCAAATAATGATGGCTAAAAATAAATTGTCGTCCGTGATGAATTGTGCGTGGAGATGTATTAATATCGTCAACAATTTTATAACACACACACATACACACACACACACACACACCACACACATGCACACACACATGCACGCACACACAAATATTTCATAAATATTAATGCATAATTATATTATATAATGATGTTTATAAAGTTTTTATGGTGGTTTCTATGTAGATGTTATGCTATGTGCTATAGAAAGGATATAATCTGTTTTTGCATTTAAATTAGATTTTTTTTTGATAAATGAATGAATGAATGAATAAGTGAATGAATGAATGAGTGAATGAATGGATGAATGAATGAATGGATGGATGGATGGATGGATGGATAGATATTTGTAATCTTATGCATTGCTTGTTTGTTTATTTGCAGTTGGCCGGTAGTTCGGATCAATTTCACAAATGTTTGAAAAAGTGGAGTTTTGAGATTTTTTTTCCCATTTTGATTTTATTCCACGTGGTAATGTCGTTTAAACTATTTTCACTGTTTGATAACTCTAACAATCACACGATTTATTTCATATATATCAGCAACACTTTATACATACACATTTAAACCCATCCACACACACACACACACACACACACACACCACACACACACATTTACCCATTCACCATTCTAATAAATGTATAACCAAAGTGACAAAAAATTGCTTTTAAAGTTCTCAAGATGATAATGAATGTCAGATCTCTTACTGAGTAACATTGTTAATGAACGAGACACCGATGCGATGAGTGCTAGTAAGTAGGATACACACACACACACACACACACACACACACACACACACACACACACACACACACACACGCACATATATATATATATAATATATATATATTTATATATATGTTGAAGGCTGATGTACATATACGTACATACATGTACGTATATGTCAATGTACGTGTATATCATAACTCAAAAAGAGATATTTTTCAAATTGTTGAAAAATTTAAACTTTGACAGAACGCGCAAGGGATTGATATAGACTGATTCAGCCAATCTTTTTCTCATTTGAGGAGTAAAAAATAGTATTATTGTTATAAAATATAAGTTATTATACGAGCATTTTAAAAAGACATTTAATTATTTAGTAATTATTTATTAATACTATAAATATAAATTTTTAAAACAAATTTTTAACAAATTTATTCAAATATATTCAAATATTTATTCAAATGTATGAATAATTTTCTAACCAATCAAATTTTAAAGTTTAGCTTACTTTTTTACATATTTAAAATTGATGTTTATCCATTTGACGAAGATGAATGTTAATTATAAAATAACTATGCTGATATAATCTGTATACTGACCAATAAGTCCTCTATAAACCTTCTCTAATTGCTGAAGCGCTGAATATCATACATGAAACTTTTTCATTTAGAAATTTCAAATGTTTTAATTTTCAAATGTTATGGTAATTGACTTGTTAAGATTTCAATTGAAAATTTAACAACAGAACAAATTTAAAAGCATTTTTAAAGCGAGCTTCTACGTTATTTTAATGGTAAATCAAAAATGTATGTTGTGTTTATATCAAAATTTTTGATAGAAAACATGAGTGAATGAATGAATAAATGAATGAATGGATGTATGAAAAGTGAAGAAATGAACAAATGAATAGATAAAAGATAAAAGGTTTTTGATATAAGTTGGATTTTTTTTTGAAACAAAACAGCAAACACATCTTAAACACAAGTTCAATTTTTGCCTTCATTTTCTAAATATTTAGCAAAAATTTTATTTATTCAAAAACCAAAAAAAATATA